AAATTAACATCAATAAATGCTAGTAAAGGGGATTATGCGCAGACATATATATATGTGTGTGTGTGTGTGTGTGTGTGTGTGTGTGTGTGTGTGTGTGTGTGTGTGTATACTGGAGTAATAAAACACAGATCAGAGATCTCAGTTCTTTTGTTGTGTTGTATTAACTACACCTGCTACACACCTTATTACACTTACTCACGCTCACACTCACACTTACCTTATCACACTTACCACTCAACACACCACCGATAAAAAACAACAACAGATGAGGATAACGATAATGATAATGATGATGATGATGATGATGATAATGATAATGATAATGATGATGATGATGATGATGATGATGATAACTTGGATGACGGTGACTTGATGGATGGATGGGGAGGAGGAGATTAGGGACTGGGAAAAGGAGGAAGTTAGGGACGGGGGGAGATTAGAGGATGGAGAGGATGGAGGAGGAGGAGGATAGGTTTGAAAATGGAGGGTATGGGCGTGGGTGGTTTGGAGAGAGGAATGGCGAGAGAGGAGGATGGGAGAATGGATGGTTATCATGGGATGTGCTGGGGTTGAGAATTAGAGAGAGGGGGTGGGTTTGGAATGGTATAGTGTCAATACTTGCACTTTGTAGAACTTTGTTTTGATTCTTTGCATTCCTATGTATTCCTGTAAATATCGACATCTGGCGGCATCACCCTTGTTCATCTTTCATCATACCATACCATACCACCCCAAATCCACTTTACCACTCACCTCACATCACCTCACCTCACCTCACCTACACCCTAACCGAGAACCCCCCACTCAACATCTTCCCCACCTCAACCACCACATCCCCCTGACTCCCTACCCTTACATCCGCATCCGCACTATAACCCCCCTTCCCCCCACCCCCACTCAACCCCAAGAAAACCACCCTCTCAATACTAACTCCCGCATCAAAACCAAAATGCCCCCCAGCCTCCAACGTCTCCCCATCCCACACAAACTCTATCAGTGAAAATTCCTTCTGCACCGTGCTAACCCCATCATCTAAATACAATTCACCCCTCGCCTTCCCATCCTTTCCTATCGGAACTATGAGTTCGAAATTCTTGGTACGGACATCCGCTGTCGTCATTGCGCTCTCGATACGTTGAGGGACGATTATACCACCTCGATAGTGAAGTGGTATATCTGTGATATTTTGATCTTTGATTAAAATTGTATTAGCGTGTCCGTGGATAGGAGCGTGCGTGTAGAAATCGTAGAAGATGTCTTGGGGGAGATAGAGATCCACGGTTGAGGAATCCTCTTCCATGACGGGTGAGACGAGGATTGCGGGGCCGTAGAAATATTGGCTTTCGATTGCGAATGTGGCGGGGTCGTGTGGGTAGAGGTAAAACATGGGGTTAATGAGTGGGGTACCGTCTAGAGTTTGCCGATAGAGCGCCGTGTATATGTAATCTAGAAGACGATAGCGAATGTCGATAGCTTTTTTAGCGGCTGCGGTGACGGAGGGCCAGAGATAGAATTCTTGACTGATCGTTGGGGGGTAGGCGTTGTGGTCTCGATAGAAGGGCGTAAAAGCACCGAGCATAGCCCAGCGAGCACAGAGTTGCTCGTTGGTATCATCGGCGTATCCGCATACGTCGGCTCCTACCATGGGTATTTGATAGATGGATGCAAAGGCTAACATGCCGCGGATAGACATACGGTAATGAAGCCAATCGCTAAAATTGTCACCAAGCCAATGTCCGACTTTGGTGCCGGCGCCGACGAAAGTGCTGCGGGTTATAATAAGGGGACGATCGTTAGGGCGACGGTTGGCCATGGCGGTGTGGGAGGCGACGGACATCATGGAACCGTAGAGGTTGTGGGTGTCGTACATGGCGAGTCCGTTTTGATGGATTACGTCTGTGTTAACGGTTTGGTTGGATATTCCTCCTTCGGCGGCATTCCATGAGGGGATATATGCGGCCGCGTTGTGGATGGCGTATTTGGGGTATAGTAGATCGCGTCCGGGCAAGCCTTGTTGCTGTCCAGGTGCCTGTCTCTCGAAAATCTCTTGAGCTTCAATGGTACATTTGGCGCTTCTGTCCGAGATAGATCGTCGCTTGCTTGCATCTGTGCAATTTGTGGTTCCAGGAGGCTGGAATGCACATGGGAAACCAGGTAATGGACGTGGTGGTGTTCGAATTGATGGCGGCTCCGGGGGAAACCCTACTGCTGATGCGTAAGGATTGTCGCATGGGAAGTAACATGGAAAGCTTGAAGGTTCGTTCATATCAATCCAGAGTCCATCGATATCAACACCATTGGTCGGATCGAAGAATATTGAAAACTCATTGCTCCAATAACTTGCTACACCTTTGGCGAACCAATCTGGGAATACGGTCACTCCAGGCCATACAACGCCAAGCCAAAAAGATCCGTTATCACGCTTGAGGAATACCTCGTCGACAGCTCCACGTTGATAAGTAGGGTAATCTTGGTATGGGACGGCTGGATCAACCATCAGGACTTGCTTCTGATCATGGTCGTGGAGATAATGATTGATATCTTGCATCATATCCAATGGATAACGCTCAGGGTCGAGAGTGAAAACCTTACTACCATTAGTTCTATCTTTACATCGAATAGTATATCACTTACCTTTCGCGCATCCATATAATCAATATCTGTCCACATAACTTCCAATGGAATTTCCGCTTTCGAGTAGTTGTAAATGACCTCCGCAACTTCAAAGGCATCCTGGTAACCGTAACGACAATTATGAAATCCAAAACTCCAATAAGGCATCATTGTAGGCAAGCCAACAAGTTCTGCATATTGTTGAGAGAGAACAATTGGGTCAGGTCCGGCAAGAAAATAGAAGTCCAATACACCACCAAGAGTATTATACTCGAGATACTGGTTTCTTCCATTGGTATTGTTGATCTTGATGTCCATGCCATTAGAATTCATTAACAAAACTCCATGGATGCCACCAGTCCTGTGCTCAAAATATACTGGATGGTTTCCGTATAGATTGGTACCTTCGGGAGTTCCATAAGCATCACGAGACCAGAGTGTGCGAATGTAATCGGTGGTGTTCAGACGAAACGGATCGGAGTGTTCACCAAGACCATAAAGATTTGGGTTTGAAGGCAATTTCGTTCTCAATCTTAAGTATTGCGATTCGAAAACAAGACTTGAAGCGGATGTATCGAACAAGACTTCTCCCGTTTTTGCTCGTGTAATTGAGAATGAGAATGGCGAGCTAACGTGATGGAATTTGATTTTGGCATCATTGGAATTAACTGTTGATTCAGCAGGGCGCGGGAAGACTGATTCCGGAACTTGGTAAACATAGTTGGCAGGATCCTGGATGACCACATGAATCCGATCATCTATATGGATTAGCAACAGTGAAAGTCGTAACATGAGGCATACTAACCTGTCTCGTAAACCACTTTCAAGGTCAATTTTGTCAAATCTGTACCATAAGTATTACACGCACGTCCAGCAAGAGTCAGATCTGCAGTAAAGCTTGATGATGTCGTCTTGACATTAAAAGCTTTGTAGCCTGGACATTTTGAGAGAGGAAGCGTGACATTGGTATGGTTACTCGCAGCACGAGGTAAGAACTCAACACTTGCTGCTAAGGCAGCTGTTGCTGTTGCTGTTAATAACAGCCAAGAGCGTAAGGTGTTGACCATGTTGAATAACTTGATGATACCCAACATTTCGAGGTCGGTGACTTTTATACTTGATCTCATATATCCTGGGATAATGGACTAATAACGCGGGGTACATTCATTGTTCGGAATTCACTCGTGATCAACATGAAATCTTGCATGGATACGGATGTAACCTTGTAAAGTTTGACAACGATTCTCGAGTCGCAGGATGGTTTAATTGCTGGAACGCCATTTTGTATGCAAGGAGATGGAGTGAAATGCATATCGACATGAATGAAAGCTTTTGATAGGCGAGGACGAAGAGATCACTACCTACTAAGGTCGACTAGTATACTTCTATTCGCTCGCCCATGAATGAAAAAGTGAATCCTTCAGAACTTAGCGATGAAAGAAGCAATCCGCAAAATCTAACGGCCCGATTTGCTTACTTTAACCCCTCATTCAGTATTCATCCCCGCGTATCCCGCATCGCACACTGCGATGACGGCTGGTCTCGGCTCCTCCTTGATGCTATTCGCTAATGACGAGTGAAACTTTTTTGAAAGAATCAAAAGGGGCCAACGTAACGCCGGAGTGGTGAATTTGCACCTGCCGGTTAGTATTGTTGCGATGGCCCATGAGAGCAGCAGCATCCTGCGATATGAATAGCATATAGGTTGCATATGCGGTCCTATACGCATGTGCATTTTGGGTGTAACATGTAATACTTCACAACTTGGCATGCAGTTTGTGCGGAGCTTCAAACGAGTGAAGGGGTACCGGTAGGTGATCAGAAGTTCTCATATCACGTGTCGGTATTTCCTCGGACGGCGATTCCGAAAACCACCCACGATTTACACTCTTGGCATGTCATGTTCATGTCGACTGTAAATCTACAGCACACATCAAAGTCCGGTCACCAATCCCTGATAACTCTGCGGAAACTGATGTGAATAGGTAGAGAGCTTCCCCTTTCTCCTGACACTCTACCACTTCCCACTTCAGAATTATCTCGTACCACACTGAGTATTTCCAGATCAGTGGTAAGGTGCATATTCTAGTCCAGCAGTGACACTGTTACCTTGCAAATATGTTTCCGAATGTTATCTATTTGAACTTCAGCTCCATGATCTTTACATTACATCAGCATAGAGAAGCTTGGGTTCTATTTGAGCTTGGTATCTGCATATAGTTATGCAACAGCTGCCCCTCGGGCCTCGACAAATGAGCCGTGAAACCTCTCCCTAGGCCAGGGTTCCTTCCAGCGGATGAATTTTAGCTGGTGAACGGATCCATGAGTGCTTGATCAGAGAGTCTCAAGAGAGTGTTTTGTGCAAACTATACACTATACATCCCACACTCATTCGCCTCCACGAAGCATACATTCTTCTCGGCGAATATTCAGAGCCCCGGGCCTTCCGACAATTGATCGGGTATACACAGCCAATGCCCGGCACGGGTATGAACCGAAATATCCGAAACAATCCGATACAGCTGGAATACCCGAGTCATGATCAGCATACCCATCTTCATTCAGTTATATCTTTGTTACTGTATCATTCCTGACTCCAGGAGGAAACAGCTTCTTTTCGATGCAACCATTTATCAATGGAGTAGAACAGTTTGCACAACTTTTGAGATCGTGAATGGTCTCAACGGCATTATTTCGGTACACTTCTTGCTCAATCACGGGTCTTGTCAGATAATAAAATTTTAATTTTTGCCCCACTAACGTTTGATTGAGGCTGGCACGAAAAATGAGATCGTCGAGTAGTTAACGGTTGAGAGGCTAGATTGTTCTATCAATTGTTACCATTGTCACCTCACTACTCAGTACCTGCATATCTCATGCAAGCTAGAATCTCAATACCACACAATGGCGGGATCATACACCAATGGAGAATTACCCCGGACGATGATCGAAGGCCCACACAATTCTCAGGAACAAGCTTCGGACGAGATTCTGGAAAAAGTTGTTCTAGACGAGAATTTGGAGTCATTTTTGAACTTTTCAGGTTCAACCTTCGTCATGGATGAGTTCCTGCAGGATAACCCAAATCATACCACTCAGTGGCAAACGATGGATCTCCACCCCTTACAAGACATTGTAGAGCCAAGCAATAACCTGTGGACATTTGATGCAGCAAATAATCATTTCTCAAATAACTTCTCCGCGGAGCCACCCATGGTTAATATCCCTTTCGAAGACTACAATACTTTCGAAAGTTCGCTTTCACATTTCGAGTCTGATGGGTCTGACGGGTGGCTTACCTCATTTCTTGAGTCACCCGAGCCAATACTTGATCCCTCGTCGGAGGTTGGTTTATTCACAGGACAGCAATCTCCTTACGAATCTGATCGAATCAGTGCTGAGATGCCCCTCGGAGACGAAGATCCTATTACTTATATACCTGAAGTAGACTCTTCTTGCAATCGGTTCAAAGATGAGGTGCCCAAACTGGTGCTATCAGAACCCCGGGTGGATGTCACAACTGCCTATGACCATCCGACTCTTCGCCCGAGTGGAGATGCCGTTGCGTCTCCTCGAAACATGGAAGACTGTTTGATTGAATTTCCCAGTGGAATAAAGGCGCCTAAGAGGAAAAGAAAGGAATTCAATCGAAGGGAAAAATTAAAAGTGCATCTAGTCCGACAAGCTGGGGCATGTCAAAGTTGTCGAGCACGCAAGGTTGAGGTATGTTCAATTGACTATCTCATTATTTGTCATTTGTAGATAAAGTCCTGACGTTTTAGTGTACTGCTGATGGCATTTGCGATCGATGTTTTAAGCTAGCGGGTAACCCACTTATGGCTCAACAAATTTGTATTCGACATAAATTGAAAGATATTTACCTTGGAGTAAGAGGTAAGTACCATTAAAGAAAGATGCAAACCCAATACTAACCAGCATAGATGTTCAAACCAGATTGCTCTCCTCTGGAAAAGAGCAAGTGCATCAGCTACTTCGTTCATTGGAGGGTCATGTAGCAAAAGTTGAACTTCGAGCGGACTGTTCCATGGCAAACTTTCCATGTCGCTCACTTCCTTGCCAGGTGATGGTTTGTAGATCTGTGGATCTCTGCCGTTGGCGAAGTCTGACGAAAATGAATGGCGTTTACATCACACACAAGTCTTTACGAGATAAGACATATCTTGTTGTACCAGACTCACTACCTTCTGTTGATGAATTGGATTTCTTTGGTCGAGAGATCCTCTTATCCTCTCCCGAGAGTCACTCGGGCAGAATAACGCATATGTTGGATAAGTTCCTTTACATGTATTGTAAACAGTATTTCGGAACACATCTGGTCAGTTAATTGATTCTCAAGGTACCAGGCGTTTCATTAATCAAATACAGGCATGTCTATGTAATGCTGCATTCAGAATTACGAGCTTGAACAGCCTCGTGTTCTATGGAGTAGCCAACATCCATTGTCACCCTGACGGTCAGCTTGAAGTAGTCAATACAATCAATGACACGTTCTCTCCAGATACTGTTCGTGAACAAGTCCGTCTTAAAGCTTCCGAGGGTCTTGAGGAAGCTGAGAAGTACTTTTTTACCGAGATTGAGAATATCTGCAAGAAGTCTGGAAGCAGCAAACAAACTCGCACCATCGCTGGTATATGCTTGCTAAGATTGATGCTTTTCTATCGAGAACGGGTGGTAAGAATTGATTTGAGGTCTAATCTTCCAAGATGTAAGAGCGATGAAGATCTCAAAAATTGCATTCATCCAGGAAAGACAGATCCTCAAAAGCGGTCTGAACAATGTGGCTTCATGTATAAACAATTGGCTGTGGCATTCAGCACTCTTTGTCGTGGCGACAACACACCTTTGACGAACGATTGGGAAGCCGAAGCTTCTGGTAAAGTAGCTCCAGATGTGCCTTTACTTGCAAACACTTTCTCGGACCTCAAATTGGCGTATACAGAATTCTGTAAGTGGTCCCACAGTCTCAACTAGGAGTGTTTGTTAATTTTAATGTAGGTGAAAATAAATTGACGCATCGGGACGATGATGTTTTCAAGATTTTGATCGTCGATCCCGCAGTTAAAGAGAGGGAACGGGTGGCGAAGAAACAATCGAAGCCCCCCAAGGTTCGCAAACATACGAAAGGATGAGATCTTCGTCCAATTTTCAATGCCCTCAGCCAATTTCATGGGCAACCCTATCGACTTCTAATCTTGTGGGAATCTGAGCACCACGATTTGCTATAAATTCATTCAGATCACACTTTCCATCTAAATTCGGTTCACCTGATCTCGAAACCAGTTCGGCCCTTTAACACCATTCAGACTTCCTCTTCTGATTTCGCACTTGTTCTTGCCGCCGATGTTCAATCATAATAACCACACTAAACAAGCAGTTGACAGCCATAACACCGCCAACAGGAGTCCTAATCTCGCATCCTCGTCTTAATGGCGCCCCCTGTACTTGGATTGTTGCAGTAAGAACCGACGTACAACTATGATCGCTTTGAGTTGCAAAAATGTGCAAATCGACGAAATTTGTACCGATATCATCACCTATGTCACAAAAAGAATTGGAATGCTTGTCAAACCAATACGGGTATATAACTTCCTGAAAGTGTGATACCCAACAGAATAGGTGCATTCGGCCCCTCTTCCGGGTACGGGTAATCATGAGCTCGACATACGTATAGTGGAATAGAAGTTCACTGGTATAATATAATCAGGATTGGATTGATTCTGGACGATCTTCATTTCGAGAACGAATGGTCATGTACTTGAGTAATTATCAGAGCATTTGGAGACCTCTGGAACTCTGGCTCTGGTGTTTACGCGTGTATATAATATGTGTAACACTGATCAATTATTGAAATGGAGATGAAAAGGCGATGAAATCGTGGAATTGCATGGGCCTTGGTCTTGAAGCTTGCGGCGTGGCGTGTAAGTAAGGCTTCAGATGTGCGTGTATGGAGTACCTAAATGCACCATACATACCGTATGAGTATGCGGGTGGGCTTGGATATGGGGATATATTGCATATTTATCATACTTTATATACTCGTAGGAAGTTGGAACGATGCAACGATGCAACGCTGGTAATTTGGTAATTTGGTGAATATTGGGGGTGCAGTGCGGCGAAACAAGTGTTTGACGGCAAGACCAGATAACTAGATAGATGACTTGCAGGCCTGCAGGCTCGTAGCAGACGAGTTTCAGGAATCGAGAATTCAGATATGTTATGTCATGTTTCGAGTCATTATGTTATGTATAGACTTGATTGGATTGGATTGGATTAGAATCTACTCTAAAACACATACTTCTTATTTTACTACTACTCTCATACTCGAGGACACATGTATTCGAAGTATATCAAATGCCTGCGTTTTTTCCTATCCACGATACTCAGCAAAGCAATAAAAGAGTATTTGATCCAGCCGTACACTTCAGTAATACCGTCTATCTTCCCAATTATTGTAATACAATTCACTCAAAGAATGTACACGAGTATTCAATGTCGACCTTGATTTAACTCAATTGGATTGGCTCTTTGCTTTTCCTTGTCAAAAGCAGGAAGTTCCATGACATTATGATTGTCCAGTCTACGAGCAGTTCCGGCAATTTCTTGGGATCAACAATTTCTATTCGGTGTGTACTGGAATAAAGACTAGGATCAAGACATCGAATCCAACTAAACAATAACACTGACAATGAATAAGAAATTTGCAATGCATGCTCCTTATAATGAACCCAATTCCAATTCCAATTCCAACATCGATGCCAAAAAGTTAAAACTGAAAACCACAGGATAATCTTCGATTCTTCTGCTACAGAAGTCAAGTCACGGTAGAGGATACAGTACAGTGTTGGTGGAACTGACTGATATTTAATCTGACTGCCTCTCGCTCGTAGTCATGTCACAGGGTCGATTTATCATTTCCATGATGGTTGGTGTGGTAGCCGAATCTTCTTCGAATATGAAGTATTGGAACTCCTGGAGATTCGTATAAGTGAGTGCATAAATCTTTTTTATCTAGCCTGTTGCCTGTTGCTACGAAATATTAGGTAGCTATTGAAAATGCTGTGGAGTGGATGCTAGGGTTCTTGTGTGGATTTAGGATTTTGATTTCAAGTTCGTGAGTTTATTGTATTGGGTAGGTATGTCGGGGTGCCCCAAGGGTGCAACAGCGTCGATGTCGTTGATGCAATGCTGGGGGAAAGAGTACTGAGTAAATGCGAGGGATATGATGGATATCGTATTCGTGAATGATAACTATATAATATATTATAGTATCCAATGTGGATGTTACTCCCTCCGTCTGTGCAAAGCACAAAGATACAATGAAAAGTTTTATATGCGTCAAGATCTTGGAGGTACATACGCAATACACATTGGAATCTCCTTTCGGAAGTGCGGAAGGTCATGAGAATGAGGAATATGAGTAACTGAAGCCGAGCTCTGGCTTTTGTAGATATAAAGCAGGTAATATGTACATTGAGCTATTGCAATATTTACCCATTAGTAAGGAAAAATATTCGGTGTTATAACATGAAATCCTGGGTTAGTAGCACGTATGGCACTTAATTAGGGAACTTGATACACAATAAATTATCGTATTAATCGAGACAATACCTCTACGTTAACGAGAGATATCCTCCAAGATAGATTTTTGGATTTCATTTGGGAATATAGAATTTTACACCAACTTCCTTCCATCTTGGAATCGCTTGATACAAATTTGTAAATTTAAAAAACAATTGAGTGTCACTATTTTAATTTTTCGGGTCTAGCTTCAAAATCACAGGTCCAGAATCACAAGGCGTATCATATCACATCACGGGATCTCTTGAGGGAGGGATCTGCCATTTCGATGTTCAAGGTTCTAGATTCGAGGTTAGCCATCTAAATCAACCAATGATATGCCAGTACCAATGATATCGAGATTGTCCAGCATATATAATACCCGTTGATTTTTAAAGAATTCGGTAAGCAGGGATAAAAGTTTAAGGTTATTCTAATCAGCCTAACTGTCTTATTCCTATTGGCAGGACTCCTTCACCTGATCGGCGACTATACTATTTTTAAGTCGAAATGTGCGGGAATCGGGATTTGATCCAGATCTTCTTATACCGTATTAACTGGTTAGGACAGTAATATTTATCTGTTTATTCAATTGGATAACAGCGTATGGTTCTATATTATCAAAAAACTTTTTAAACCTCTATAATATAATAATGATATAATGGTCACGGTATATATAATAATAATAAAAAAGTCATGTTATATAGAATAAACCTGCCCGCCTAGGCTTTATATTATATTCCTCCTTTTTCATTAATCAAATTTATTATAAATTTATATCTATATCTATATCTATATCATCTTTATCATTATCTATTTCATTATCAAAGTTAAAAAGATTAAGAGAATTGTCAGAATCTGTATTATCATTGGTGTATATAATAACTTCATTATCTGAATCGAAATTCCCAGATATTCCATTAACTCTTTTCTCTGTAGTATAGTATATTGCTATATAAAAAACTTTATGTCTTAAAATCATCTAGGAAAGGAATAGAAATTCAAGAGTATATGTATCAATAATAATAGCCTTATTTTCAATCTTTTCTTGAATTTCAAGGATAGGGAGGGTAGTAGTCATAATAAAAAGAATTCAGGAAAAATCCCCGATTTCAAAATCTGGTAGATCTCTGATTTTGAGTTCATGATCTTCAGAACCATCAGGATTCAAAGAAAATCCTAACTATTAAATTTCAAGTTAATAAAAGAATAAAAAAATAAAAAAGAATGTGATAATAGAATAAAGAAAGAGAGAAGGGAAAAGAATTAAAGAAAAAAAGGAACAAAAAGAAAAAAGACTATTTATATAACAAAATATCTTGATAATTATACTCTGATATTCTTTATAAAATTGAATCCAAACTTTCCCAATCCATTCTATTAAAAGAACTCGATGATTATTTGTAGAATACTTTCCTGTTTTTTATTATTCAAGATTATCATTATAATGCTTTTCTTCAAAATTTTGTATCAAATCTTTTATAATCTTATTGACAGAGATATCAAAAACTTGTATATAGCCTATAGTGTCTTTAGGAATAATGGAAGTAATAATATTGAGATCTTTTAGAGTTTGTTATAATTATGTGATTTCAAGTTTACTTTTCTTTCGAATTTGATATTGAGATATAGACTTATTATTATTGATTTTATATCTTTTACTTTTGTGAATAATAAAAGAGTTTAATATTAAAAGATAAGGCTTATATATTACAGAAGACTTTATTATAAATCATTTGAACTGATTTTTGAACTATTTCATCAGCTTTTTGATATTATAATACCCTTTAGTATTGAAAATGATATATATTCCCTTGTGATAACTTTTAAATTCTTATTGTTAGGTCTTGTTTTCAATATTTTCAGTATCTTTGAATATTATAAGAGGTTTGTATCAAGAAATGCTATTAGTGGAAACTATGATTTGTAAAATAGTTTAACACTTTTCCTATTTATTTTTGTTATTTTTCAAAAATATAGTGTTGGTATCAACGGGAACACCTTTCAGATCTACGATGGTAGAAAGTCCGACGGGTGTTCAGTGTTGATATCAATAAAAAGCTTGTTGATTACTATTCTACATGATGGAGACTATATGTGTATTGAAGCCCTTTCGCTAAGGCTTGCCCAGCCCTTCGATAGTACGGTGCCAGTACTCCGGTACAGTAGATGACTATACCGACATATAGTACTATTACTTTTGTAATCGTAGATATAGCTAATTAAACCAAATTCAAAAGTAAAAAGTATCTAATCTATATTGAATATATTCAAAAAAAAGAAATTGTTCTATTATATATAAAAAATTAATGATGTTCAAAAGGGGAATATCCAAAAAAATGAAAAATGAGATAAAAAAGAGATTAAATTTACCAATTCTAAGGTTATCAGCCAACTTATTCTTTGAACTCCTAGTATTCGAATTATAATTTCGAATAATGTTTTATCGATTAAATTAACATTATTATTAAATAATCTTTTATAACTATTCTGAATCCTTTTGGGCATATTTCGTCTTATATTGAAAAAAGACCTAGTATTATTAAAGGAATACTGAAAACCAGCAATTTGAAAACTTGAATTCAAGATAGATTTATTTATTAATAATTCTTTTGACATATATAACTTTCGAAGAATAAAGGTTCT